TTTTCTCGTCTCTCTCACTCTCTCTCTCTCTCTCTCTCTCTCTCTCTCTCTCTCTCTCTCTCTCTCTCTCTCTCTGTGTGAGTGTTATTAGTTGCTTCTTTTTTCACATATTCACTTTGAACCTCCATTGGAAGGATAGAAATATTAGACAACTATTTAACATTTGTTGAATTCAAAGCGCCTTGAATTTGTTATTAATCTCTTTTCTTTATCTAATTTGGTAGCCAATGAGCATGGTTCTGCCGGGTGGTGTTGCGTTTAAGTTGTCCGGGACATTGAACGATGGGGTTACTGCAACTGATTTGGTTTTAACCGTGACCCAAATGTTGAGAAAGCATGGTGTGGTTGGCAAGTTCGTTGAGTTTTATGGTAACGTTTCATCTTAATCGCAATGCTCGAGAAGTTTGTCAAGTTATAATTTTTCTTAATTTGCGTACATACGATCTGTGTAGGTGAAGGCATGAGCCAGTTATCATTAGCAAATAGAGAAACAATTGCAAATATGTCTCCTGAGTATGGAGCTACCATGGGTTTTTCCCGGTGGACCACGTCACTCTACAATATCTTAAATTGACTGGAAGGAGTGAGGAGACAGTAAGTTGCTTAATTTTTTTTAGTTAACCAGATTTTACCTGATTTACATGGAGCATCGTGACCGTTGTTATTTCAAACTGGCTTAGGTTGCGATGATCGAGGCATATTTTACGTGCTAACAAAATGTTTATCGACTACAATGAGGTAAGTAATTTTCACTCATTTTGTCTGCTACTCTCATATGTCATGATTTTAGTCTTATGAGAAAATCATGAGCTTTATTGCAATGATATTGATGATCTAGCCTGAACAAGAGAGCGCACTCATCTTATCCGGACTTAGATCTTGCCAATGTTGAGCCTGTATTTCAGGACTGAAAAGGTATGTTATATGCTTTATGAAGACCACTGAAGTTGTGATATCCATGTTTTTAAACACGGAATGATGAGTTCTTGCTGCTTTAGGCCTCATGATCGTGTTCCTTTAAAAGATATGAAGGTTGATTGGCATTCATGTCTTGACAATAAAGTTGGATTCAAGGTAAGATGAAATGTTCTTTTGATGAATCCTTGTACTCACTTCATATTCTACTTTTAACAAACCTAATTAAATTAGAATATCTTTTCAAAAAATATTTTCTTGAAACAGCTACTTTCCTTGAGAGGTATATTGATTAGTCGAAAAGTAGAAGAAAGTGCTATTACTATTCATACAAAATGTTATCTTCAAGCTATACCTTTAACAAAAAGACTAGGTGTTGTTCTCAGTCAAAATCCTTTCTTTTCTTGGTTAAGAAATTCCCTTACATGGAAAAAAAAAAAAAAAAAATCCATGTTTTTCTTTACAAAAGAGGTTAAAGTTTGGTTTAACCTTAGACAAGATTGAAAATTCTCCTGTCAAAAGTTAAAGAAGGAAAATATTTCAAGAAGATTAAAAACCCAATTGTAGCACCACCATATGCCTCTCCTGCCGTAAACCTTTTCTGGACTATAACAGATGATTATCTTCTCAAACCATATTTCTGAAAGTTTTATTTAGTCAGCTCCTGTTAGATGCTTAATCATTATAGTATCAATTAGTTCACACTTGTCCTTTGTTTGTGTTTCATTTAGCTCTGCGTTGTTTTGACACATGTATATATATATATTTTTTATTTTTTATTTTTTTCACAGGTCCTTTCCTCGAGCACATCGGGTTGAGTCTTAGTTTAACTGGTTTATCCAGGAAATGTAAAGGTCCCCACGTGATTTTCTTTTGTTTGTGCATTTTTAAGGTGTTCCTGATGTCCAAACTTCCCAAGCATTGGAGGGAGTTTTCATTACCTCAGGAGACAATTCATTTGAACTGATCAAGGATTCAGTTTCCTCAACTGTCAATAAGATTTATTTACTTACTAAGGTGGTTGTACTATAATTTCATATTTTAATTTCCATATTCCTACTTTTTTATGATATTATTCAAACTCAATGGTACATTTTCTCATCTTGATAACAAAAAGGTCAAAAAATAAATAAATAAATAATAAAAAATAAAGTTTTTTTTTTTTTTTTTTTTTTTTTTTTTTTTTTTTTTTTTTTTTTTCCCCCCCCCCCCCCCCCCAAAAAAAACACAAATTTCACCTCCACCCCCACATAAACAACTAGACATTTTCTTCAAATATTTTTGAAAATATTGAATCTAGGAACACATCATATTTCTACTAACAGGCCTTGCTCACTTAGATTGGTTTGGATGGTGCACATGTGATGTTTTCTACACTAAAGTTAATCCAAGTGGAATCCAAGAGGTCTTCAGAGGCTTGATATCTTAACCTTAATTACATATCAAAAGTTTTCATCAACCAATCTACTCAATCATACAAACTTTCATTTTATTTTAAATTTTAAAGAAGGTGGGATCCCTCATAAATTCCTTATCATAGATGATGGATGGCAAGAAATTTAAACAAATTTCAGAAGAAAGGCTAACTTCTTGTTGAAGGAACTCGGTATGTCCTCTCTGCAAGGTCTTGAAAGCCTTTGTAATCCTTAAAAATCATGGTACTAATAATGTCCTGTCACTAATTTTTGCATAGATCTGCAACTAGATTAATTGATATCAATGAATATAGCAAGTTTAGGGGCTTCAAAGCAGATGGTTCATCTTCTAATCTCAATGAGTTTATCCACACAATCAAAGAGAACTACAGTTTGAACTAAGTTACCAAGAGTACTAAAAATGATCTTGACCTTCTGTTTCATACAATGTGTAAATGCTAAAAGATAGTAGGTGATGCAGATATGTTTTTATGTGGCATGCTTTAGCTGGATACTAGGAAGGAGTTTCCCCTTCTTCTGAATCACTAAAGAAGTACAATCCTGCTTATCTAGTTCAATCGTTGGGAAATACTGAAAATATTAGAGACATTGCATGGGACAATTTGGAGAAATATGGAGTTCGAGTTATAAGACTCTCAAAAGGTGTGCGACTTTTACAATGACTTCTACCAGCTACTTTGCCGATATTGGCGAAATTCAAGCCCTTACATCTCCATTTTTTGTGCAAGAATCCAAGGTATTTTTAACATTTGCATTTAAATATTGAATTAAGTTACATATTTTTTTTAATTTACTTTAAATTGCGTTTATTATTAACTGATTTTTAATAAAATTCATAGCAATGGGAAAAAATCAATATGCATCGTTTTTTTCACTCAATGTAAGCTTATATGCTCGAATGAATCACGATCTAGAAAAGAAAAGTTTAGAATTTTTATATGATTTGATTGGTGTTTTTGATGTAAAATTAATGAATTATTGATTCCAATGAGCGAAAATTAACTTTCTTATTGATTATAAGCTTTTTATTAGTTTTGTGTTTGAGATCACTTGTTTAAGGTGATCCTTTAAAAACAATTACAAGACAGCATTCAGTTTATCTGTTGAATTTGGGGAAGGGTTTTGTGTTCAAATTGAAAATCACTATTATAAGATGGTGCTCAGTTCATGAATTGCATTCGAGGTTTCTTATTGAATCTAGAGATCACATTCGACATGTTATCATTCAAAAGTCAACATGATAACTTGCTTTTGTAGACTTCTTTAGAAATAAATTCTCGATTCACATGATAATTTTGCTTCAGTTTCTCTTGCAGATGGGGTTTTAAATTTTCTCTTCATTTTTAACTCCTGAAGACTCATGCTTTCTGCAACTTTTCTTTTGTATTGCATATGGTTGAGTTGGATAAATATGTAGAGGAAAAGTTGATCGATGAAGTTGTTTTCTTAATAATTCGGCCTGACATCAAGAAATGTCCCAAATGAACTTAATTGGACTCCTTCAAAAGAGTGCAATAATCTATATGAACAGTTATATTAGGCCACAAGTTTTATTCCAGAAGTTGTGAAAGACCCAGGGATGTCAAAAGGACCGATCCGCTAGTCGGCTCAGCTAGTCAAAATAGGGCTCGTGGGCGGTTCAGGCTCGTAAAATCACGAGCCCGAGCACGAGTCCAAGCACGAGCCAAGCCCGCTTCTAGGCGAGCCGCTCGTGGACGAGCCCACGAATGGCCCGTTTGAATGAGCCAAGAGCCCGCAACGAGCCTGCAAATAACGTGACCAAAGCGGTCACTTTTTTAAAAAAAAAAGTGAACGTTTTGGTCACTTTTTCAGTGACCGTTTGGTCACTGATTTTTTTTTCCCCTTCTACTATAAATACCCCTTAAACCCCCCCCCCCCCCTTTTTTTTTTTTATACCAACAATAATAAACTTCAATAGCATTTTTTTAAGAGCGGGCTTGTGTTTTTAGTTAATGTAATTCAAGCACAAACCCCCCCCCCCCTATTTTTTCATATCAATTACTCAATTACTACTTCAACTCTCTCAACTCTCTTTTATTATATCAACTATTGACTTTTTACTCTCTTGTACTGCAAAATATACGATATCAATTCAATTTTTACAGTTTATTATTTACAATTTCAATTTATCCAATTCTCAATTCTCATAATCTCACTACATATATATTTTTCTAGTTATTATATTTAAATTTCCTCATAAATAATCAAACAAATGGATTAACGCTCATTTATTGAGAGTTTATTTGATACGGGATGTGGGCTACATCATGGCGAATCGCCTAAGACGCCACAAAGTCAATTTCCAAATGAGCTTGCAGGTCTAAATGACATACCCATACTTGAAAATGTTCACATTCACGGTCAGGGAAGTTACAATCCAATTAATTTGGATGATATTAACGTTCCCGAAGAGGAATATGAGGATGAAGATACCGAATTAAACATCCCAGATGCGAGGGGAAAGCGAAAGGTCAAAAAATAAGCAAAATGTTAGGATAACTTTAAGTTGATTTCAAGGGAAAAAGTTGTCGATGGCCTTGCAGAATCTAAAGCAGTATGTAAATACTGCCAACAAAGATTGACATGACAAAAAGGAATTGGAACCACCCATCTCAACCGCCACTACAAAGCATGTGCGGCAAGACATGGACTTCTTTCAGCTGGTCAAACACAATTGCAATTTGGCAGTCCAGGCACCGGTTCTACAACCTCACCCCTATCCACGTGGGTGTATTCGGAGGACAATATTCGAACTGGAATGATGAAATTTGTTGCCGCCACAAAGTTGCCTCTGGCTATTGCAAACAACCAACACTTCGTCTTGTTCGTGAAAGAATATCTGCAACCGAGGTACGTTGGAGTAAGTCGAAACACTCTTAGTGCCGATATAATACAATATTTCAATAATTCAAAACAACAATTAATTATGGATTTACAACAATATGAAGGTGTTATATCTTTAACTTCTGATATATGGGAAGGGGTTAATAAAAGAGCATATATAGTTGCAACCGCACATTATATAGACCCACTTTGGTGCATGCACAAGAAAATTATTGCTTTTAGAATTATTGAATTTCCTCACAATGCTAGTAATATATATAATGCTATTATCAATATTGTTAGAGAATATAATTGCGAGATTAAAATTCGGTCTTTTACTTTTGATAATGCTAGTGCTAATAAGGTAGTCGTCGATAAATTGTGTAGGACACTTCAACCTGATTTTGGTAGGACACTCCAACCTGATTTTGGTGGGTATTTGTTTCATATTCGTTGTATGTGTCATATCTTGAATTTAATTGTACTAGATGGCTTAAAACATATAAAGGATAAACTTCAAAGGATTAGGAATGCATTAGTATATATTACGATCTCTCCTAGTAGAAAACAAGCATTTGAAGATTTTTGTGCCGAACTAAGGGTGACGACTGCTAAAATATTTGTTAGCGACGTAGGCCATAGATGGAACTCTACTTACTTGCTATTAAAGTCATGTGAAGGTTTCGAAAATTTAATAATTGACTTTTATAACAA